TTTTCCTGAAGACTTGGTGTACACAACGCCGTATGAATGGCATACAAGCATTCAGTCATGGCATCAAGCCAACACCTGAATTGACAACCAGGAGTTGAGGAAGCATAAAATCCAGGGTACGTAGTGACCGGGTTCCGGTCCACATTCACGGAACCTTTAGGACGTCCAAGCTTCTTGCTACGTCCTAGCAATGCATCAGTCGTATCCAGGGGTCTTCCATCGTTCTTAGCTTCGCGCTGTTCTCGAGATTTCTTGGTCCAGCCAAGAACTTGTGCTACTTTCTTGTAGTTCTTAGCCTCATCCCCATACACTATTGCCACACCGCGAAGCCTGTCCTCATGGTCCCTTTCAAGACAGGCCACCAAGGCATACAGCTGCACGATACCAATCTGAATGGAGCAGTTTCCTTTGCTGTGAAGGAAAAAAAGAAATTCAATGATTAATTCAAAAGCTTACAAAGAAAAATCAAAAACATACGCTATCATGTAATACACACGATGCATCGATTCTTGTGCATTCGTTGTTGACGGCATGATGTCATCGCAAAGGCTATCGTCGTCAAGTTGCTTTTGTCGTGATTTGAAAAGCATTGACTTTATGTCGGATGCTTTCCACCATTCAAGCCACCGTTTGGCTTTTGGGAACTGCTTAATCATTTTTTTTAACTTCTCATCAAAAGTTAAACTACCTGGCCGGTCTAGTTTTAAAAGTGAAGATGCTTGCGCTTGAAATGAATCCTGTAAATTCAAATATAAAAATATCAGCAATATGAAATACAAATGGAATTGTAATAATTAAACACATACCTCATCCTTTTCAGGTATAATTGCTCGGTTGCGCTTGACCCGAGTGACTTGAGCTCGAAAATGTTCATGACAACCTTGAAGTTTGGAAAGTGCCACTGCCGGATCAGTCTCCTTAAAAACCTTCATGTACGCTTTGACAAATCCGTTCTTTTGGGCCAATGAAAAGTCAACTACCTGTCGAACCAGCGTATCACGTTCCTTGACGGTTATTTCGGCATGCTTGAATTGTTTCATCAGGGTACTGAAGTGTGCGGCGTAGTGATTTTCCGTCATGCCTTTCAGCCAAGTCAAAAGAATTGGGATCCATCGTCGCAGATCCTCGTATTGGTGATATTTTTCTACAGTTTCAATTTTCTAAACTCAGTGGTAAATCAGTGATCTGGCGTAGTGATAGACCCTGTTGTCCTCGTCTCGAGCCATCAGCTGCTGATGCATCCAATCCGTTTGAAAGGTCATGTGCATGTTCACACGCTTCATAGAACATGATACAACGTTTAAACCGCGCCTGAAGCCAGAATTAAACCAGGAAGACCAAAAAGAAGTGGCAGAATATATATAAGTATCGTAATCACAAAGAATATAATTATCTTGAAATAGAAAACATACTCAGACCAGTGATACATGTCCATAATGAAGTTGTCTGCCGCTCCTGGAACACTCTTTTCGGGGATAACACCTGCTTCCCCAAGGAGCTTACGTCGATAGTAACCAGTCCGATGTAGGTTGCCAAAACCTGCATGGATGTTGCTAGCGGTAACAATTTCCTTCTTGCCGGCAGGAGCTCGTCCGACCTTGCAATCAAATAATTATTAGTAATCTTTTGAAATGGTGCAGAATGAAATGAATTCGAGTGTACCTTGTGTCGTAATGGTCCCACATCAGGGTTTTCAACTACCCGTTTGGCAAACTTGGCCAAAGACAACTTGTCCGGCTTGCCACGTCGAGGCCATCGATGGTTATGGATCCCAGAGTGGCGTATGATGCCCCAGCCGCTGACATGTTCGTCCAACCGGCATAAGGTGTCATTACATTCAATATATTGAAGTTCCTCAGTACACCTTGCAGCAGGACATTTCTGAGGTCTAAATCCATATGAGAGCGATAATGGTCAGAACTATCATCTTTTTCAAAATATTGATACTTTGAAATACTAACTTGCTCATCCATTCTGCTCTCTTGGGGGCTGCTGTTGGCGGTGATCCAAGATAATCGCAACCAAGACTCTTGCAGACTATGACCCCTAGACAGCTATATCTGACTGTTCGCCAGTCACCTGGGCCTTTGCTTTTGCCACCAGACGATGTATAAGTGAATCCAAAAGTCCCCCAGTTGGTGAACTTTTGCTCGGCTGATAGTCGAAGAAAGACAGTGTTTCCATTTGGGAATAATGGATAACCTTCGTCGTCAAGGGTAGTGTTGTCATCTATGAATGTTTCGAAAGATGGACGGTCCAAGGGTAGCCTGAAGGTTTTCTTAACTTTGATAGCCACCTTCTGACCCTTCGTCGAATTGGTAGAAATGGAGGATTTCTTTCCCTGAGACTGTAATGGCGGAGAAGTAAGAGGAGGTTTTCCCTTGGTCGAATTTGTAGAATTGGATGATTTGTTTCCCTGAGACTGTAACGGAGGAGAAGTAACAAGATTTTTCGAAGCAAGATAAGGTTTTTCATCTTTGAATTCAACTTCTTCAACTTCTTCATCTTCTTCATCTTTGTATACATCTTGTTCATCTTCTTCGTCTTTGTCTTCGTATACAACTTGTTCATCTTCTTCGTCTTCGTATACATCTTTTTCATAAATTTCAGGCTCAGAGTCACTGATATGTGAATATTGATCTCCTTCAGAGTTGCTACAGTAAGATGGGTCACTCATGTTGGTGAACGTAAATGTTATTGATTAAATTCTTGATAGTAATGATTAAAGGTCAATTGGGTATTATTGATAAAGCAAAACTGATCAAAATGTGGAATTAAACGGTAGAAACTGATTGAAAGGTGGAAATAAATGATAATTGAGATTAATGAGGAATTGAATTATGATGTGGTTATTGTTGAGGTTGATTGGTTAGAGAGAGAGAGATATGTAAGATTATTCTGATAAAGAGATGATGTTGTTGAACTAGCAAAACGAAATGATCGTTTCTAAACAAATTGATCAGTTGAAAGCTCGAAAAGATCTTTCTTTCTTCATCATGAGGGCTAGTCATTATGACACCCCTTTCCTCTCGTTTCGATATCTGTCAATCCTTGGCTTTGGATTGGTAATATTTCATCAATCCGTCGGATTGGTAGTGA